CCAAGGAATGATCGGTGGGCTTAACCTCTGCCTTTGTGGTTAGAAGCCCAGTGCTTGCCCTACAGCACCACACCAGGACTCCAAATAAGGTGATTGAAAATACCATGACTTGAGTCAGCCACAACTGAGTCCTCCCAGACTGAATAGAGTTCCCAAACACTTGTTGAATTGCTGGCCCTGGGACCTGTGGTTTTCTTTTGCTGTGTTAATGAGGTGGGGTGGGCCCTAAACGCTGTCACCCTGGAGTTCTGGAAAGAGCAGACAATACAGACAGAGACACAGGGAAGACATGTCACATGCTGTGAGTCATCTACAAGTCAAGAAGCTACAGCACAATCAGATCAACCAGAGAGGAAGGACTAGACCCGCCCAGAAATGTGAGCAGTCAAGTGTCTTGTGGTGTCTGCCCTGCAGCGACACCAGGGATCAGAGCCTGGACACCAGTGTGTCACTGCTTGTGCTGAGTCTAGGATGGGTCGGTGGGGTCTTCCAGATCTGATAGTAGTCAGCCTCACCAGCCCCAGAGGCTGCGTAGAGATTAGTTCCTGCCTGCCCCTGAACTGCTGGACACTGTTGGAGGTGCAACCGGATATGGCCAGCTTGCCCCTCCATACTGCTGTTGCTGTTGTAAGCTGCCACCAAAAGCCTCCAACCCATGACATCTTTATACACAAAGGCATGAAATGCTGCCTGTCCTGTGCCAACCCCCACGGGCTGCAGAGCACACCCTTATGACTAGTGTTTTCTCTCATTGGTTTTCAGAAGGTCCCCCAGGGGCCTATTTTTTAGGCATCTTCACGTGATCCCCACTAAAACCTGGTCAGCGTCAGAACAACAGACCAAGCTCCGCTGACCGACGGGGAACTGCTATGCATCTGGCCGTCTCCTGCTGAGGGTGGGCCTGAGCTCCTCTTCCTGGCATCTCCTGATTTTGTAACTAGCACAAGCCACATATCACCTGGGGTTGGTGCAGTTCATCCTCAGTATCCACATGAAAAGACAGGGTGCTGTGTGGCTCCCACTGCTAGTGGGAAGGAGCGTCTCTGAAACAAACACCCAGAGTTTCCCATCGCATGGCCCTTAATCCCGGGGTCATAGTGCCTGCTGGGGTTCCTCTTCCCCCACCACAGATCTCAGCCTCTTTCTTCCCAAATCCATTGTCCAATGACATCAACCAAATGGCCTTTGAGAGAAAGAGAATTTAGCATCAGACCAACATCCAAAGATGCAACACGGCACTAAAGGTGGGTGTTAGCCAGTTGTAGCTGCTTCCAGGACTGTGGTTAGCAGTTGCACGGACCAGTGGAGGGTGTCCCACACACACCTTTGTAGGTCAGCACTAGAAGGACACCTGGTCTCTCCCCAGGGGACTGATAGTGACCAGGGTCAGCTCACAGTGAAATAGACACAGCATTTCTTTGGGTAGCTCTGATTGAATAGTTTCCAAAGATATGGGGTTTCTAAAGCCCCATAAAGTGATGATGAAGATCCCATCTGCTGTGTCCGTGAACGTGACCCTGTGGATTTGCTGTAGGTGGGCATGAGGTGGTGCCAGAACAGGGGATCCTGGTCCCATCAGAGCAGAGGGCTACCAAAGCAGAGAAGAGACAGGGACGGTCTTCACCCCTCACTCCCACCCTGTGTCCATCTCCTAGTAAACCCTGTTCACCACCAGCAACTTGCTCCCCACGGTCCCACTGCCTGTCTAATGATGTTGGCCCAAAATGGGAACTCTGTAGGCACTTCATGGTCAGATGAGGAAGTGAATGAGCAAATGACTGTTAGGTCAATAAAGCAAAAGTCACCTTGAGTGAAGAGGAATTCATGGCGCCCTGTGGGACAGACTGTCACACTTCTGGCTTTGGGGCTAACCTGCCATGGGATTGCTTAACCTTTCTGCACCTACTTTTTGCCAATCTGTTTCCTAAACACAAGGTCAGTGGGTCAAATCCCCCAAGCACTCTGCTGCCGGAATATGCGGCAGTCTGCTTCTGCAAGTATTTCAGCCTTGGAAATCCTGTGGGACAGTCCTACTTTATCACAGGGGCTGCTGTGAGCCCCAGCTGACTCAGCACTACCTAAGAACCACAGTGATCAGAGACACAATTCTGAAACCGAATGTCTAACCTTAATTTTATCATGCTTACAAATATAAATTTGCTAAAAATTTGAAAACTACATTATTTTGGCATAGCCGGTGCTACAGTTTGGAAAATGGAAAGATATGACTATCAAATTTATTCTTTAAGAAATGAGTTCTTCAAGCAAGTTGTTTGTCCAGGAGCCATCAAGGCAAGCAATCAAGTCCCTTCGGGACAAACTCCCCTCCAAGACTGAAACTCAAAGGGAACACATGAGCAGGTATATAAGCTTGCTGGTGACCATGTTGGTCTACTGCTGAGTGGAAGAGGGTGAAAGGCAGCAATGAAGAAATGGGCTCAGTTCAACCACGTTTCATAGACTACCGTTGACCTGGAGATGAGAGAGAGAAGAGGAAGAGCTGGTTGGTCTGAAGTGTGGTGAGACCGGGGGACTCCTGAGCCCATGGACAAGAACATAGCCACAGAGGGCTAGAGCTGAGAGTGAAGCATCCAGCTGATATGAAGTGAGGGGATACACACAAGAACACCCAAACTTGCAGATAGTACCCATTTGGCCTAGCTTCAATGGTTTCATGATCAGAACTTTACTAAAGGAAGGTAACATTTTTTTTTATAAGGAAACAAGTGTAAAAAAAAAAAACAGTTTGAGGAACTTAACTTATACATATGCATGAAGTAGCTCAAAATACCAACTGAAATGGAAGGAATCTTCACATCAAGGATCAGTCTTATCCCTTCTGTATGCAAGGTAGATGTTGTTGTTGTGTGCCGTGGAGTAGGTTCCAACTCATAGCAACCCTATACAGGGTTTCCAAGGCTATACATTTTTACAAGAGCAGAAAGCCTCATCTTTCTCCTACAGAACAGCTGGTAGTTTCGAACTACTGAACCTGAGGTTAGCAGCCCCATTCGTAACCACTACGCTACCAGTAGATGTTAAGTACCGTTGAGTCAATTCCGATCCATAGTGACCCTGTATAGGGTTTCCAAGGAGCAGCCGGTGAGCTTGAACCACCGACCTTGCAGTTCAAACAGCTTTGAAGTCTGGTGCACTAACCCACAGCACCACACCAGGACTCCAGTAGATAGGGATGGGCAATTTAGACATTGGTGACCTAAAATGGGGTTGGGGAAGTGGGGGAAATAAAGGCATGAAGTGATTGGCTTACAAGTTTTCAAGAGGGAGTTTATTTTCAGAGTGTGTGGGGAAGGTAGAACCCTCATTGAATAGTTTTCATCATGTCTAGAAGGGTCTGGTGAAAGGAGATGGGGATAAGATTCTTACAATTCAATAGTGAGTAATTGTTATCATGACTAATTGCGATAGTAACAACTGTAAAGGTTTAAGTTTTGTAGCATAAAAGAGGAAGTAGTTAATCTTACATTCCAGCTACATAGGACCCTAGGACCATCAAGGTAGAAGAGTATGAGTGGAATGTGGAACCCTCTCCAGAGAAGCAGCGACACAGAGATGGAGGCAGACATGAGGACATGGAGAGAGGGAGCAACTGAGGACTCTAGACTCATGGGAAGAGAGAGATTGGGTGCTGGCGGCCAAGAGGCAGGCTTGCAGAATGTGCCCTTTGGTTGTTTAAATGATTATGTATTCCTGAGTGTTTTGATGTACATTTGAAAAAAAAAAAAAAAAACAGAGGGGATAGAAGCAAATAGTATTGAATGCTGATGCACAGAGATTATAACCATAGCAATGAAGCAAGATATGATAGGATGAGTGTAAAACGGATGTTCTCCCATGTAAGCTATCACTCAATTCACAATAAAAGTTTTTTTAAAAAGAAAGGAAAAAAAAAGAATGTGTTCTCACTGGCCCAAATCAGGAATACTCAGTGGTTAAATACCCAGCTGGCATCTGAAAAGTCAGTGGTTCCAGCCCACCAGCCTCCCTGTGGGAGAAAGACGTGAAGTCGGCTCAGTAAAACCTTGGAACCCTATGGGGGTGGTTCTATCCTCTGCTACAGGGTTGTTATGAGTCGGGATCAACTCGACGGCAAGGAGTTTGTTGTGTTTTTTGCGTTGTCTTTTGATTTGACTAAGAAACGAAGTCAGTCCGTGTTTAGGTCTGATCCTCTGTGATGTGGTGATGATCCACTCACTGGAATGTAGATGAGCTGTGAGCACACGGTGAGTCTCAGAATCAGCACAGGGCTTCACAGCAGATTTAGCCATCCGACAGCCAATTTACCGTGACCTCCCGAAATCACAAACATGTTTGTGTGTGAAATGACAGGCATGCATGTGTGAAATGACAAGCACGCATGTGTGAAATGACAGGCAAACATGATATGACTGTCGTGTGTGTGGTATGACAGGCATGCATGTGTGAAATGACAGGCAGGCATTGTGGAATGACAAGCATGCATGTGTGAAATGACAGGTGCGTGTGTGGAAGGACAGGCACCTGTGTATGAAAGGTTCTCCCAAGGAGAAAGCAGATATCCTGGCAGGGAGTTTGAGCTTGCCGCTCACACTGGTTTGTCGGAGTTTCTGTGTAGAGTGGTGTTGGGGTGACAGGAAAACTGAGCAGAGAAGCCAATGGGTTCTCAGCCCTGAGTCTGCATGCTGCCCTGTGGTCCACTTGTTACAGCTGATTCAGCAATACTGGTACATCATCAGTAACCAAAGCCCACCATGCACAGCAGGGATCACCCTGTGCTCCACACTGGAGAGCCCTGTGGGTTTGAGAAAGGTATCATGTCACGTGTCCACCATTACTGTGTCCTACGGAATACCTTCACCTCCCTAAAAGTGCCTTGGTTCCCTCCCTGGTCTCTCTGAGCGCTGGTCTGCCCATGCTCTCTACAGTGTTTGCCTTTTCTAGAATGTCACCAACAACAGTTTTGTTGCAGTGTGTACTGACCACCCCCCCTCCTTTTGCAGATGGAAACGCCTTCACCTGGTGGGTCGGCAGAGGCAACGAGAAGCATTATTACTGGGGAGGATCAGGCCCCGGCATCCAGAAGTGTGCCTGTGGCATCGAGCGCAACTGCACAGACCCCCGGCACTACTGCAACTGCGATGCGGACCACAAGCAGTGGTGAGTACCGGGCACAAAGGGTGTCTGACAAGTGCCAAAGGCATAAGAGAATCATCTGGAAGCTGTGGAGCTTGCCGAACTTTCAAATGTTAGGAACATGCTGAAAGCTCAGGGCCTGCACTTATAGACAAACAGACACATGACCAATGGGCGTGCATTTGCTCAGAGAGGAATGATCACAGGCAACAGGGAGCTGTCTGCAGGACAGAGATGTGCTTGTGGTCAGAGGGGCCGCGAGCACACCTGGGGGCACCCGGGGAGCAGCGTCTCCTCAAAGGTGCTCATCTGCTGCAGTGTTGGATTTGAGAGTCTAGACCAGGAGAGAAACGAGAGAGGCAGTGGGTGAGGGAGACTGACAGACAGATGGAGACAGAGGATGGACAGAGACAGGGTGAAGATGAGGAAGAAGAGGTGAGAGGGCAAGGGAGATGGGAAAAGGAAAGCCAGTCCCGTCCACCCTCCACCCCGTCCACTGTCCACCCCATCCACTCTCCACCCACTGTCCACTCTCCACCCCTGTCCACTCTCCACCCCCCGTCCACTCCCCACCCCCATTCACTCTCCACCCTCATCCACTCTCCACGCTCCCTGCCCACTCCCCACCCACCCTGTCCACTCTCCATCCCTGTCTTCTCTCTGCCTTACCCTGTCCATTCTCCATCCATATACCCTGAACTCTATGCAACAGACTGGGCAGCTCTAGTCCAGACTCCTCTTCCTTCACAGTGAGGGTGGGTCGCTGTCAGAAGGACGTACAGGTCAGACAGCTGTCCACTGTAAGGAGCGTCTCCGAGCCCAGGATGAGGAATGGAGACCCTTCTGAGGCCTCCTGGAGACACACTGAGAGCAGTAGCTCTGTTTCCCGAAGACCCAAGGGCCCTCAGTACCCTGTTCCCACTCTGGCCTCCTCCTGGAACCCACCTGTCCATCCTGTCCCTCTGACACACTGTCGGGAAGGACAATCAGATGACAAGTTAACTCTACCACTGCCACATCGTGACTCTGCTCTTCATCAGCAAATCCCTGCTGAAGAACCAGGAGACAGTGCTGTCACTGGGTGTGTAAGATGTATCCTCTTTCCAGAAGCCATCTTTTCACTCAATCATGGAATTAGCTGCAAAGCTATAGCTCTCAGTGGCTCGAATGTTTGCTGCACATGTGTGCATGTAAGATACTTGTAGACAGCTCTCATTATCCTTTCACTGTGGCTTTCTTGTAAAGAAAAATGTGTGATACTTGACTCTTAAGTGTATTAATTGGGAAGCTGTAATTTCCCCACCAGCAGCACAATTCTCCCATACACGTACACTACAGAAATTACAAGTCAGACAATGTATCTGATGGGTCTTTCCCTCAGTGAATCTTCCATTTACTCTATCAGTCAGTCATTTACGCAGTAACCACTTGGTTCAGAATGAGAAAAGGTGTGCAACCAGGGTTGTATTCTTTCACCACACTTACTCAGGCTGAAGGCTGAGTAAATAATCCGAGAAGCTTGACTATATGAAGAAGAATGCGACATCAGGATTGGTTGGAAGTCTCATTAACAACCTCCGACATGCAGATGATACAAACTGGCTTTCTGAAAGTGAAAAGGACTTACTGATGAAGATCAAAGACTACAGCCTTCGGTATGAATTATACTTCAACATTCAAAAATAAAAATCCTCACAACTAGACCAAAAGCAACCTCATAGTAAATGAAGATAAGATTGAAGTTTTCAGGGACTTCATTTTACCTGGCTGCATAATCAACACTCATGAAAGCAGCAGGCAAGAAATCAGATGACCTGTGGCATTGGGCAGATGTGCTGCTAAAGATCTTTTTTTAAAGTGTAAAAACATAGTCTTTGAGGACTAAGGTGTCCCTGACCCAAACCTTGCTAGCATGTTCAATCACCTAACATGAATGCAAAAACTGGACAGTGAAACTGTAAGACAGGAGAACTGATACATTTCAATTGCATCATCATGAAGAATATTGAATGCACCATGGAATGCCAGAAGACCAGGCACATCAGTCGTAAGAGAAATTTAACCAGAATGCAGCTTACTTTCATAAGCGAGTGTCTAACCTTACATTAAGGACCCCTGGTACTGTAATGGTTACATGTTGGGCTGCTAGCCACAAGATCAGTGTTTTGAATTCACCAACTGATCCTTGGAAGAAAGATGAGGCTTCCTGCTCCCATAAAGATTTACAGCCACAGAAATCCTGTACGGGGTCAAGATGAATTTGAACCAACGCCACAGCACAACCACCAACAAACTACCTTACAGAAAGATACTGTTTTTAATGTTGGATAGACTAGCTCAAGGTGTTAACATTTTCTTCAGTTACAGATGCAGCCGTTGTTAATTTCTGCCAAGTTGTTTCTAACTCATAGTGACCCTATATAGAAGCAGCTGGTGAGTCTGATTCCCTGACTTTGTGGATAGCAGTCCAGTGCTTATCCTACAAGGCCCAGAAAAACTTAAGAGACTTTCCTAAAATTACAGAGACAGTGAAGATGTGAACTCAGGGCCCTGAAACTCCAGTCTGAAATTGTTCTCTAGCATCTAGGGGGGTTCATTTGTTTTCAAGATTGCTGATTGTGATGTTTTAACTGGGTCGATGCATTTGAAAAGGAGCCATGGTCATCTTGTCTAGATGGGTCTGGTGAAAAGAGATGGGGATAAGATTCTGATGATTCAATAGTGAGTAATTGTTATCATGACTAATTGCGACTGTCACAATTGTAAAGGTAGGAGTTTTGTAACAAAAACAGGGGAGTAGTTAATCTTACAGTCCAGAAACCAAGGACCCTAGGGCCATCAAGGGAGAAGAGCACAAGCAAAATGCTAGACCTTATCCTGAGAAGCAGTAACACCAGAAATGGAGGCAGAGATGGGGACATGGAGAGAGGGAGCAGCTGAGGATTCTAGATTCATGGAAAGAGAGGGACTGAGAGATGGTGGCCAGGAGGCAAACTTGCAGAATGTGCCCTTTGGAGGTGTAAATTATTATATATGCCTGAGTGGTATTTTTTAAAAAGAGCTAAAATGAATAGAGAGAAATACTGTTAACTGATGGTACACTGAGGGGATTATAACCATTGTAATGAAGCAAAGTATGACTTGTTGAATGTAAAACTGATGATCTGCCCTGTAAACTTTCACTCGATTCACAATAAAAACTTTAAAAAAGAAAAGGAGCCCAGTACCTCAGTGAGTCAGCTGCAGGGATGCTAACCAAAGAGCCAGTTGTAGGAACCCACCAGCTGCTCTGTGAGAAAGAGTCGCAGTCTACTTCTGTAAAGATGGGCCGCCTTGGGAGCGCTGTGAAGCAATGCAACTCTGCCCTGGTTGCTGTGAGTGAGAATTGGCTCGTAGTTGATGGACATACGTTTAGTTCTGAGTTAAAGGCTGGAATGATGCTGATGATGCTCATTGCTAATGAGGCCGTCTGACTTTTGAGGGCCTTATGTTGAACAGAGCCAATCTCCCACTGACCTGGCACTGTTTTCAAGATCATTGGCACATGTGAGCCCACGGATGAGGCCACTCCATCAGTCCATCTCTTGAAGGATGGCCCGTCTTTTCGCTGACCCGCTATATGTTGCTCTTTTCCAGTGATTGGTCTTCCCTGTTGAGTGTCCGCTATCCCCGTGTCTAAAGAGCACTGTGATAGCATTTCTGCTAGTTCTGACTTGTTCCTTCTTCTGGCCGTCTAAGGTAGTCAGTAATATTTGCTGACAGCATAATTCATAAGCCACAGGTCACATGATCTCTTTTGGGAACTTAGTGGAGCTGAGCATTTGCTCTTGTTTGCTGGAGTGAATCCTGTGAGTGAGGAACTGGGAGATGAGCTTAGAGCTCGGAGCAAGAGTGTGTTCACAGCAAAGGGGCAGCAGCCAGAGGGTAATTGCCTGATTATCTTTACTGCAAGAAATTTTGCATTGTTGTTCCTGAGACTGAAAGCAATTTAACATTAATGATTTACTTAGTATTCATCGCAACAGTAAATGTTCCCACCCACAGAGCCAGAATCCTAATTAGCTTACCCTTGGCCTCAGCTGAATTGTCCACCATTGGGCAATCAGGGCCTCTCAGTGAACTGAAGATGAGTGGTCAGGACAGAACCATCAGAGAAGTCCATCCTCATTGCTCGAGGAGACTGTGTATAGACAGTGCTGATGACCATGCCTCACCAGAAAAGCATGGGATTGGTGGGCCCACGCAGGTGCAAAGCTATCCATCCACACGGTCTTCAGGACCAGAGCTAGAGAGTCTTCTGCAAAGTCATCCATCCACGTGGTCTTCAGGACCAGAGCTAGGGAGCCTTCTGCCAATCAGCCTCTTCACAGTCAAAGCCCGATCCTCATTGGATGTGGAAGAGCTCAGTAGACGGCAACACCTTCAGGATCTTCAAAATATTCCCCATGTTTAGAAAAGCCACCATTGCATGTATCCTCACTGCCTATCAACAAGTTGAGCTAATCGTAAGAACACTTCCCACACAGTTTTCACTGTGCCTTTTACTCAAAGCCAGATATTTGTCTGTGCATCCTCATCTAGCATGTTCTTCAAATCATAACACTGCTGTTGACCTGTGCCATCAAGTCAGTTCCTACACATAGCGACCTCATGTGACAGAGTAGAACAGCCCCAGAACGTTTCCTGGGTAACAGTCTGTTGGGTTTTGCTCTCTGGGAGCAGCTGGTGGATTCCAACAGAGAATATCCAAGTGCTTAACCACTGTGTCACCAGGGTTCCTTGTCAACTAAGAGCGGTGAATGCTCACTGAGAACTAGTGGTTCACAAGCACTGAACTTGTGTAGTCAGTGTGTCCTGCCATTTAGACGTGGACCCTACAGTGAGGGTCCTATTTGGTGCGTATCTCACAGATGCCCACCACGGAGCCTCTGGGGGTGAGGAATGGGAGAGTCTCAGAGCCCACCCACGACTGCCCACCCTTCCATCCTCTAGTACTCATGAAGCACAAAGCAGATTTCATCAAT